CACAAATCACAGGATAAGACCCAAGAAAAGAGTAAGAATTGCTTGAAAAAGAATTAAGTAACAAGGGACTTACAAGGGAAGATGTATTTGGACTCATGACGGCTAGCTGGCTACATATTATGCTGCCAATCAGAAGGTCAGTGGTTCAAAGCCTTTAAAAGAGTTAAGGGTTTGGAAACACAAAGGGGCAGTTCTTTTCTGTCCTATAGGGTCACTATGAGTTAGAATTGATTAGCTGGCAGTGGGTTTTCTTTTGGGTCTGGGAGGCTGTGCAACATATACAGAGACTACAAGCTGGACCCTGCAAACCAGACCACAGCTGGAGAAGAGTGGAAAAGAAAAAAGAAAACAGAAAAGGCACATAAATGGAAGGTGTGAGGGCAATTTAGTGTGTGGAAAATGTATAAGTAAATATTTTGAATACGTTTTTCTTCCTCAAATTATGCACTAATTTTTCAGAACACACTTTAATATCTAGAAGTAAATGGATAATTCATGTTAAGTGTTTTGGAGTTGAGGTTGACTACAAACTTTTTAAAAAAATAAATCATTTTATTGGGGGCTTGTACAACTCCTATCACAGTCCATCCATCCATGGTGTCAAGCACATTTGTACATCTGTTAGCATCATCATTCTCAAAACATTTTCTTTCTACTTGAGCCCTAGGGTATCGGCTCATCATTTTCCCCCTCCCTCATAAACTACAAGCTTTTTTATAAGAAAAATTCTACCTTTTCTTTTAGGAGTTTCTATGCACAGGTGAAGTTGTGCCATCTTATAACAAAACTGGAACATTTTAATTTTGGGGGGAATATTTTAATTTTAAGAAAGGAATTTTAACTACAACAGGCCCTTTTGAGGCTTCAGAACATTTGAATCTCTTTTTATTTTTTTCAAGACGTTCTTGGGAGCTAATACGGATATCATTCCATAGTTCAATCTCATCAAGCAGTATTGTACAATGGCTACCACAATCAGTTTCAAAACATTTTCTTCCTTCTTGAACTCCTTGATATCAGCTCCCCTTTACCCCCCAGGATCCCTTTTTCTACTTGCTATCTCTATAGGTTCATCAATCCTGGGTTTCATACATCAAAAAATAGAAAAAAAACATCTAACAGAAATTCAAGAGGGAATTTTTCAATGACAAAATAAACCTTAGATAAGCCCTAATATGAAACAAACAAACAAAAACACACAGAGAAAATGTTGAAAATCACATCAGGCCCAGAGTGTTTCAGAGGGGGGGTCAAGGTTTTAACCGTTCAAGTCTAGTTTATCATTTTGATCCCCTACAGTCATTGCTCCAATATACTCTGTGTGGTAACCGATTTCATCCCACCCCTCTGTTCTAGAGGGAAATCACTGGAGGCTATTTCCTGTGAAGATCTCACAAATGTATCTTGGACTTCCACTGTCATCCATAGCCTTCTGAGTCTCTTTATATTGTACCAAACACACTACCAGTTAGGTGCCTATGACTCATAGCGACTCTATAAGACAGAATGGGACTTCTCCTGTGGGTCTCTGAGGATGTCAGTCTTTATGGGAGCAGAAAGTCTCATCTTTCTCTTGCAGATGGGTTCGAATAGCTGACCTTGTAGTTAGCAGTTAAACACTGGCAAAGACCACTATGCCATCGGGGCTCCTTATTTCTTGTCTGGTAACTCTTATTTCTGGCCCTCTATAAGATAACAAATTGGAACTGCCTACTATTCGGTTCCTAATAAAGGTGTAGCGCTACTTGGGGAAAATTCCAATTTCATGTAATAGATCAAATATTTAGTACAACACAAATTACTTTGAATAAAGCCAGTGTGCACTTCCTCTATCTCAGACTAGCTAACACTACCTTAAAATATCTTGGTTTTTCATTGGCAAGCAGAGTGAAGAGTGATATGTGGCATATGTTCTGTATCTCAAAAACTAGAACTGGGGAAAAAAACTGGAAAAATGGTGCTATTTTTGGAATCAGCAGGTTAAATATGTCCAGCAACAAATCTAACCTTAGAGGTGCCGAAATGTGTGTAGGCTACTGTTACAGAATCCTGTTTCCTCTAAGCTCTCTGAATTCAAATTTGGTCACAAATGGGAGGAGTCAGGCCTTGAATATAAGTGTGGCTTGTCATCCCTAAGAGAAACCAAACTCACTCCCATCTGGTCAATTCTGACAGCAGAACTGTCCCTGGGGGTTTTCAAGACTCTAAGTCATTACAAAATTAAAATGCTTTGTCTTTCTCCCACAGAGCAACTGGTGGTTTCAAACTGCTGACCTTGTGCTTAGCAGCCCAACACATATTCACTAACTACACAGGTCCCTCTCAAATCCTGCAAATACTTTCCATACTAGCTAGGCAATTCACAGCCTGCTGACTGTGGCTGAGCCTCAGTGATCCACTTGTGATTTGGGGCCATATATTTAAGAGCTGGGAGAAATACGAAATTTAGAGAATTTGAATGATGGAGATACTAACAAAGCTACACAATCAACAGAAATGACTAAAACCCATCAGTAAAAATGTCAAGTTTACATTTTCACTTGCCTTTCATCCTTCAGCAACAAATTTGGTAACTGAGCAATCAATGTGTATAAATCGATCACAAAGGCAAGTTAGACTCTGAAATGTAAGTGTAAATTTAGAATATACCCAGAGGTGGATTACTCAATAACTAAGGTAAGCATGAGTTTACTAACACTTATCTCTTAATCTGTAGGTCACTAAGCACAAGTAATCCCATGATTTCCTTGCTTATTGAGCAATCTGATGCTGAGTATACCCTTCTAGTGGTCTAATAATCTAGTTTCTTCCTTTCTAAAATGGGTAGGACGTAGGGGGTGGGGGACGAGGGGGACCATAGCCAGTTTTATATGATGCTTGTGAGTTATCATGGAAAGGAGCTACACCAAAAAAAAACCCCTCCAAACTCACTGTCATGGAGTCAATTCTGACTCATAGCCACAGTATAGGACAGGGGAGAATTGCCCTTGTGGATTTTGGAGACTGTAGCTCTAAGGGGGTAGAAAGTTCATCTTTCTCCCTCAGAGAGGCTGGTAGTTTCAAACTGCCACCTTTTGGGGGTAGCAGACCAACACACAACCACTACGCCACCAGGATTACACAAGTGCAAGGGAAAAGTAACCCACTTTTTTTCTTCCCTCGGTTTCTTCTGCCCACCTCTCAAGCAGAATTAACCAAGGAAGAAATACAAGATAGGAAAGTACAAGACAGAAAGCGAAGGAAAAGAAGTGGATGTAAGTGACTCAACTGGAAGCAGTTGGTACAAATCTGAACTTTGGGATTACTTTTTTTAAAAAGTATTTTGAGTGCTCTTATGATAGATTAAATTTAATCATGGTAAAATATACATAACAAAAATCTGCCATTTCAACACATACAATTCAGTGACGCTCATTACATTGACCATGTCGTATAACCGTCACCCTTTCCATTTTCAAGTTTTCCATCATCCCACATAGAAACTCAGTACCCCTTCATTTTAAGAGATTTGGGGTGGCCAATTTTTTTTCAGGGCTGAATCATGACTTGTTGATTGGCTCCAAGGAGTCCCTTCATAACAAACTAATGGGCATGGTCTCTCCCAAGAATATAGATGTGATGTTGTATTATGTCCTTCAATAAGTAACTGAAGTCCTGGGACCTATTATTGAACTACCCCAAGGAAAAAAAATATTTTAATAAGAAACAGTGAACAAAAATCCATAGGGTTCTAATGTAACTTCGTTTCCTTGGTTTTTAAAGGAAGTTGTGCTAAGCCTGCCTTTGAACCCTTAACAACCCTTTCAAGAAACATCCTTCTCATAATGGACAGGCCTACAAGTTTGTGAGGCCTCTTTTTGAGGGGTGTCACAGAAAATACCACATCACACCACACACAATCCTCAAGGGAAAACAAAAAGAAAACAATATCCCCAGCCAAGAAAGGAAAAACCCTCATTCTAGGGTCCAACTCCACAATCAATCCCAATAGTCTACCTGACAGCTTGCGTTGTTTTGAGTTTAGGAAAATCGCTAGAGAGATGAAAGTGTGCCTCTTGGATTTGGGGGTCCAAAGAGAGACCTCTCCAAGATTCACAAGACTTTTGACCACAGAAAGCCCACCACCCTTTGGGTGTTTGGGGGTTCCTGGAGAGTACACGTTGAGGTGTGGGGTTAGGAATTTGCACTTCTACTTAAGGGATCAAGGCCAGTGGCTGGGAAATGGGGCAAATTTGGGAATACACTCATTCCTCCAGACCTGGTCCTTGAGTGTGCTGGTCCACACTTGCATTCTTAAACGCCTGCAGCCTCTTTCCTAAAGAAATGTGGCTCCCCCAGCATCCCCCAGCCCGGCTCCTTGAGGGGAAACCCTTCTGGCAGCCTTGGAAGATTTGGACAATTTCTTGAGAACGCACAGTATACCTAAAGGCAAGACGGGACCGGGACGGAGGGGCTCTCGGTTATTTCTTTTTACGGTTTCAAGTGGATGGAGGAAGTGTTTCCTTCCTAGGTCGTTGTCTTTTGTCCAAAAACTGGCAGTAGGCACCCAAATCAGTTGAAGATAGTTTCTCTCCACCCATCCCTGGGGTACGATTTTGAACTTAACGGGGGGCCTCTTGCCCAAGCTTTGCGAAGAAACACCCATTTTTAAATCACTCTGTAGGATTCTCCTCACCCCATCCCCCCACCCCGCCGCAACAACCCAGACGAACATCCATCCACCTCGAAGGGAAAAGGCCAGGTCCCCCCACCCCCCTCACCTCCGCCCAAGAAACAAAAACACAGCCCATCCCCAGCAGCCCATTCTGGCCCCAGCCCCAACATTCACACTGTAAACTGAGACCAGAGGAGGCTAAACCGCTATGACGGATTAGGCCGTCTCTCCGTTCTCATTTACATGAAAATCCCCTAAGGGACATTTTCCCAGCTGGCTGCGGGAGCCTCGGGAACTCTTTTGTGCCATAACCACGCATACAATTACACCCTTTGTCTTGACTTACCCGAGGCTGGGGGCATGTGTGCTCTATCTCCTCCATGGTTTCTGAGAGATGCTCATTAGAAAGCGATGTTGGGATACCTGTTTCTGACTCAGCAGCCGCGGTGAGTACTGGCATGGCCAGCAACGGCTCCCTCCAGCGATACCCTGAGAGTCTCCTCGCAGACAGGGGGTTTTCTTGATCAAGTATTTTTGTTTCTTCTGCCCATGCCCCTTTCCTTCTCCCCTTGTTGGATGTTTCCGGGGCCGTCAAGGGACTAGCTCCGCTCCCGTCTGGCCGGTGGCAAGGCCTCAGTTTATCACTATAACAACCAGCGCGTTCTAGAACGGCGGGTGCGGGATACAGTATCCTCATTTGTTCCGAGCGCTCTGGTTGGCTACTGTCATCATAGTACCACTCCGCCGGGGAGCGGCCGCGCCCCATTGGCTGGCCGGCGGTGCCCACGGAGCCTGAACTTGGTGCTTTTGTTTCTCCTGCCGACTTCGGTTACGAAGGTCTCCGGCCATCCTGGCCAAGGGACCGGGGCTGCGTGACCCTGATAAGATAAACCCGCTTCCTGAGGGGCCCAGAAGGGCTCGAGAAAGACTAGAGCAGACTCCCAATTGTGACAGGCCCAGGCCCTTGGCAGGAGGGGAGCGTGTGCTGTCGTCAGAATAGCTGAAAGCGTCATGGTTTGAGCCCAAACCATGGTGCCCTCAGAGGCCGACTGACCCCGGAGTGGTTCTGAGGGGCTTGACGTGGGCACTTGAGTGACACCCCAGGGACTCCGCGAAATGCTAGCACTAAGAGGTTCCCTGGGGCCTCCCCTGGGAGGAGGTCAAGTTTGTCTTTGGCAGCCTGTCTGCTACCTCTGGCTGCCCTCATCTATTGCTTCCTCCATCAGTCACTTCCTCTTCCACCTGTTCTGAGTTTCCTCCAGGAAGTTTTGTTCTTGCCAGCCCTTCCTGTTAGCCCTCTCCTCCTGTTAGCCAGTTGAGCCGTCCTGGTCCCATTAGCTAAGCACCTGCCGCCAGCCAAATGCCCCTGGCCATCCCAGAAGGGTACCAAAGACCCAGATGCCCGAAAATCTGACTCATTTAGGGATACCCACATTAAAAAGGAGGTTCTCAAAATGCATCTTCAAAGACATGAGCTCACCGAAGTCTTTGCTCTGGAGAAATGTCACGCTTTGAATAACATCCAGAAAAAAAATTCAGGATAATCGCTAGGGCTCATTAAACACAAGGCACAGTGCTAAAGACTTCACCTACATGTTGTTTAATCTTCCTAAGATACCGAAGAGATCCTATTATTATCCCCATTTGGCAGGTAAGGAAATTGCAAGGTAAGAGTAATTGCTCAGGGTCTCCTAGCTTGTAAGTAGTGGAGTTGAGGTTTGAAGGATTTTTTATCTTTTTTTTTTTTGAAGGGGAGTGGCGCCAGCCGAGTACAAAAGGTGTGATAGCAAAAGCACCTCATTTTTATCCTCTTGGAACCAACAGTGTCAACAGCAGCAGCCTCTGAGAACTTGTTACAAATGCCAATTATTGGCCCAACCCCAGACCCGATTCAGTGGTCTCTGGTGCAGCTGCAATATGCATTTCTAACAAGTGTCCTAGTGATGATAATGGGGTCACCTGAAAAGGGACCAGTTTCTTCCTACCCCATCTTCCCACCATCAGCACAAAAACACCTGAGGCTCTAGACTCAGCTCAACCAAGTCTCGGCGTTGTAGGGGTTGCGGAAGTTAGACGTTTATTCTCATCTCAGGATGTTCTGCCTTAGAGCAGGCTGTCTCAAAGTGTTGGCCCTAGAGAAGTAGCCACGATCCTGGGAACATCTCATTCCCCATCTCACTCTTATCTCATTCTACATCCCAGACCAGAAGCTTCTACAGTGATGAGGGAGTGGAGTGCAGAAATTTCTGTGTTAACAAATCCTCCAGGTGCTTCTGACACATGCTAAATAAATGTGGATAAACACTGCCTTAAGGCCACTTATCTCCACTATAAGGCACCCAGCTCCCTAACCCATATTGTCTGAGCCACTGAGCTGTCCATCTGGTATCTAATTGGTCACTGTAGAACGGGAGACTCACCTGCCTATTTAGCAGCATCCTAATATCTAACTGGCTTCTTGAGAGCCCCTCTTGCTTAAGAACTGGATCATCCATTATCCCTCTCAGCCAGGGTGCTTTCCTTTTTGTCCCAAAGGAGGCACATGCCCCCTTCTCTCCCGTCCCATTCACCCAAGATGCTGCCTCCGCATATTTTCGTTGTTTCACCCTAAGTCAGATCATTAGTTCTGAGTGCCACATTGTACTAAGTCCAAGTCACATCTGACACATATTCTTCCCCCATTTTTGAGTCTCTAGAACTAATTTCGTTCCCACTAATCCCACTGCAGCCTAGTCTTGGCTTCTCCCCACAGCATGTCTTACAGTCTTCATGGCAGAACTAGACTCTTTCAGGCATGTGAGAGGATCCATCAACTCTGATGCCCAGAGTCTCTGTTGCTACTGCATCCTCATTGGGGAACTTCACCTGAATAATATCTAAATTGCTTTGCAATTCAAATGAGAATGACTAGTGAACTCCACACTATAGAATTAAGTATTCCACACTCCTCTCAGGTTTATGGGGAGATGAGGGGGACTATAAAAGGATAGTAGGAGGGAATTTATTGTGGTGACGGCAGTATTCTGATATGAAATCATTGGTGACACTTGGAAATTTACCCGAAAAGAAACAATCAGAGAAATACACAAAGATTCATACACAAAGATGCTTCATTCAGAATTATGTGTAACAGGCAGGAGGCCTGGTGGAATAGTGGATTGCTAACCACAAGGTCAGCAATTTGAACCCATCAGCTGCTTTGTGGGAGAAAGATGAGGCTTTCTGCTCCCATCAAGACTTACAACATCAGAAACCCACAGGAGCAGTTCTACTCTGTCCTACATGGTGGCTAGGAGTCAGGATCAACGGGGTGACAGTAATTATAAAAGGCAGAGAGAGAGATACAACTTAGAACAATAGGAGGAATGGTGAAAATGAAAAATATATCCCAATAATCACTATATAATATAGTGAAATAAGCATTATATTTTTTTAGAAATTCTAAGGTTATGGGAATACATTAAGATTTATACTGCCAGGTCAGAAAAAGCCAACTATGAATTATGATTTAGAAACGAATATTCTAATTGTCATCTGAATTGTTCAGGCAGTGCTGGCATTGTAGTGGGTATGCCCTGGACCGCTGACAGTGGTTCAAACCCTCCAATAGCTTCATAACAGAAAGCTCCGGCAGTGTGCTCCTTTCAAGATGTACAGCCTTGGAAATCCTAGGGAGCAGTTGGATTCTGTCCTACAGAGTCAATGTGAGTAAGAAGCCACTCTATGGCAGTGGGTATCTGTAATGTGTTGTTGTTAGGTACTGTCGAGTCCCTTTTAATTCATAGCAACCCCACGTGACGGAGTAGAACTGTCCCTGACGAGTTTTCAGGCAGGCCATCATGTCTTTCTTCCACCGAGCCTGTGAGTGTGTCCAGACCACCACCACCCTTTTGGTTCGCTGCCTAATGCTTCACCATTATGCTACTAAGATGCCTATGAAATATACATTTGCCTAGAAAAAGCGCAGGAGCGAAATATATCAAGAAGTGAACCGTGAAGACTTTAAACTGTGGGGCTGGTAGGGGTGGTTTATTTTGCTTTTCAAAAGTACAGAAACAACAAAGCCCACATGGAAGAAGCAAACCAGCCTGTGAGATCACAAGGCGTCGAAGGGATCAGGTATCAGGCATCCAAGACCAAAAAAATCATAGCACATAGCATTGTGAATGAGGGGAGTGCGGAGTGGGGACCCAGGGCCCATCTGTGGGCAATTGGACATCCCCTTGCAGAAGGGCTACGGGGAGGAGATGAGCTATCAGGGTACAGTATAGCAATGATGAAACATACAATTTTCTCTAGTTCTTGAATGCTTCCTCCCCCCAACTATCATGATCCCAATTCTACCTTAAAAATCCGGCTGGACCAGAGGATGTACACTGGCACAGATAGGAACTGGAAACACAGGGAATCCAGGACAGATGAACCCCTCAGGACCAGTGGTGAGAGTGGCGATACCGGAAGGGTGGAAGGAAGGTGAGGGACAAAGGGGGAACAGATTACAAGGATTTACATATAACCTCCCCTCCGGGGGATGGACAGCGGAGAAGTGGGTGAAGGGAGACGTTGAACAGTGTAAGATATGACAAAATAATAATAATTTATAAATTAGCAGGGATTCATGGAGGAGTGGAGAGGGAGGGGGAAAATGAGGAGCTGATACCAAGGGCTCAAGTAAAAAGCAAATATTTTGAGAAGGAGGAGGGAAACAAATGTACAAAAGTGCTTGACACAATGGATGGATGGATGGATTGTGATGAGTTGTATGAGCCCCCAATAAAATGATTTTTTTAAAAGTACTTTCAGCTCTAGAATACATAGTTTTCAATGAGCACATTTTCTATGATGAGACAAGAAGGAACGTGGCACCCACCCCTCCCCTGACAGGAGCCAAGTGGACCGGTGCAGGGCCCTCGATCAAAGGAAACAAGAGAGTTGAAACCCAGGAACACAACAGGAAACGACCTCTGTCTCCCCAGCCAGAGACCTATCTCCAGTTAGCAGAGGCAGAGGAGATGTGTTGGAAGCAGCTTGTTAAGAAAATTCCCAGGAAACTCATCAGTCTTGTGACCTCTGCATCAGTACTTGAGATAGTTAAGGTTTATTGTGCCAACCTGGCCGATAAACACAGGTGGAGTTAATTGAAGGGTGAAGGGATAAATGGCTCAGTGAGCCTCACCTTTCTAGTTCTCGGGTCTCTTGCTCTTTGATGGTCGGACCAGGGTGCAGCAGCCTTAGCCAGTTCCCTGCTTCAGATGGCAAGGCTCTCTTCCTGCAAGACATCCCTGAGGAGAAGCCACATGAACCTACCCCTATGCAGCCCTGGGTGCTGGAACAGCCTTGTGGAGAACCCTGCCAGCGCTGAGATGCTTGCTTACACGCTGCAGCCCTGTAAGCTTTTCTCCTGTAGTCGGTGTCATTGCATGAGTTTTGTGAGATTAAGGAGGACTTTGTAGATTGGTGTCAGACATATGGGCTAATGTTGGACTTATGAGCTTGGACAGCACTGGGTTGGGATGCTTTCTTAATGTACACTTACCCTTTATATAAAACTCTCATATACATAAGAGTTTCTGTGGATTTGTTTCCCTAGTTTACCAAGACTAACTCAGTACTGTTCCTAACAAGCACCATCATTA